TTCCCAACAATTGGCTACAGGTGACCAGATAATCCTGGCAAGGTTTCCAGTCTAGTTTGACATGAGAGTGAGGCTCTCCAGGAACCCATTTTATGGTGGGGAGGGGACCCTTTTGCACCAACAATAATGAAAACAAACAACTAACATGTATTGAGGACTTACTATGCTCCAAACACTACTTAAGCGCTTTATCCAAAAGTGCTTTATCCAATTCTTAAGTCCATTTTACAGAGGAAGAAACTGAGTAGGGTGGCCAACTGTCCCATTTTGCCTAGGATGTGCCTGGGAGGCAAGATTTTCAGTTGCTAAAACCAGAAACGATCCAGGCACACTGGGATGAGTGTGCCCCACCACGGATGCACACAGATGTTGAGTAAATGTCCCAAAATTAATAAGTGCTGCCAGGATTATGAATCCAGGACCCAATCAACTGTACTACAGGCACAGACAGAGGCAAAGGTGAACCCACTGAGACAACAAATTAAGCAGGTTCTAAAGTGGCCTGGACAGCTGGTCTGGCTCAGTGGATGGTGCGTCAGCCTGCAGACTGAGGGGTCCTGGGTTCGATTCCAGTCAAGGGCACATGCCTGGATTGCGGGCTTGATCCCCAATAGGGGTTGTGCATGAGGTGGCCAATCAATGATTATCTCTCAACATTGATGTTTCTCTCTCTCTCTCCCTTCCTTTCTGAAATCAATAAAAATATATTAAAAAAAATAAAGCGGACTGTCCATCATACTTTCCAGCACAGAGTCTAACACAAGTTGGTACTCAAATGATTCTCCCAACCATGTTCTAGTCATCCACTGCCTGTGGCTAAAAACATGAACTTGCACAAGTCACTTAAAATCTCTGGGCTTCAGTTGTTGTATCTTCAAAATAAGGGGTCAAATTAAATCAGAGATGGCAAATAAATGGGTTCCCTTGCCCATGGCAGGCAGAGGTAATTAAGCTACTCCTTCCCACTCTATGTGAACTTGGGCCTCAGAATCTTTCTCAACCCAGCACCCTGGACATTCACATCCCACTTGTAGGAGTTGATGCTTAAGCATGATCTCCTAAGCTAGACCTTTACCTTCATAGTCTGTTGGCACTAAACTATCTTCCTGAGATTGTCTTGGTCTCCAGATTTGGCACTAGACTAATATCCAAGGACAAGAAGCAGACAGATCACAGCAGCAATGCAAAGGAAGGGACAGTCCCTAAAGATTGGTCACTCCCTGCGGGCAGTCCTGTGCAGCATGGTGACCAACAACAGGGACTCAGAATCCTGGATCGCCATTTACTGGTTGTGTGACCTTGAACAACTTACTTAACTTCTGTTTCTCCATTTCCTTAAATATAACATGAGGGTGATAATACCACCTACCTCATGGGGTTAATATAAGGATAAGTATATAGTATGTGCAAGTATATGTGTGTAGAAATCTTTAGCACGTTGTGCTATATGCGTTTAATAATTGAGAATTCTCAAAACCACTCTCTGAGGTACATTATTTAATAGATGAAGACACTGAGGTTCAGACAGATTAAGATGCCCAAGGTCACACAACTAGTTAAGCAGCAAAGCCAGATTCAAATGTTAATTCCAAAGCCTTTGCTTTGCAGTCTCACTGCATCTCAGTAAACACTCCAATACTTATTAGAAGAATCGATGATGAAATGGAAGTGCTTATTGATTATACACAGGGGCCTGCCGACCCGGGACCGCTGTCCTCAGTACCTGCTTGTTCCCTATTGGCACTGCTTTCCTACTGAATCTGGACTATCACTTACTTTAACCCCTTGCCCAGCCTCATAATTTGCATACAGATCATGGCAACAGATTTGAGCATCAGCCTACAGAAAACCAGAACACCTGCTGAGTCTCCACTTTTGAGAAACAGGAGAGGACCTTTGAGATTGATTATTGGTCTTCCCTCATCAATAAGGCAAATTTGTTATTTTCTAGATCTGTATCTTTCAGGGAATTGAGCAAACAGATTAGAGAAAATGGGTAAAGGGATTAAGTACCTAGGTATATATGTGCTATCCTATCTACCTTACTCCCTAGAAATTCTCCTAAACATACTGTATATATATTTTTATCTTAATCATATTCACAAAAACACCTATTCTTGCTAACTCTAAAGTTCCTAGCTAATATTTTTCTCACCATTCTATTGTGTCCAAAGAGAGTGAGCTGGTGCCCATGCTTCTAGTTCATTCCATCTAGTGCCTTATTTTTAAAAACAGAAAAGGTGCTTATAGCTTTACCAAAGATGGGACTTGTGGAATTTCAACTCTAGTGGAAGAGACCAGAAATTGGTTCCATTCCTGCCTCTGCCAAGGACTGCAGATGCAGGCTGCTGGTTGGAGCTGAGCAGGCAGTTTAAAGCAGGTGACACAGAATTGGTGTGTTCTTTTCAGTGACCTGTCACACTGTAGGACACGACATGAAAAGGTCCACCAACGTCCAAAGAGCAGCAAGAAATAGGATGTCTGACTCTTCAGCTACATTTTTAGAAACCAGTCCAATGGCTCTTGCCTCTCCTTTATAGACGATAAGAGAGAAGTGATCTGGAAAATTACAGATACGTTTTCTCCAAAAACTCTCTTGTTGCTTATTAGATAAAGTAGGCTTCATCAAAACCAATTACTCTTTATATTCTAAACAGTTCCTTCCTTTTTAGAACTGTTGGACTCATGCCTTTTCAAAGGAAAGCAACCTCTTGGCCAATAACTGTGACTCATTCAACTCTATTGCCAAGAGAGAAACCCACAGTTATCCAGTCGGAAAAAAGGTCCTAGCGAATAAGTGTTTTTATCTCTAAAATTTGCTCTGTGAGCGTGTGTATATAGGAGGTGAGAGCAGATAAAAATTTGCCAGGGAAGCAATAAAGGAAAAAGATGAAACTGGTGAATGCAATCCTATATAATAAAAGCCTAATATGCAAATCAACCGAACAGTGGAATGACCGGTGGAACAACCGGTCGCTATGATGCTCATTGACCACCAGGGTGCAGACACTCAATGCAGGAACTGCCCCCAGCCCACAGGCCCCAGGCCAGCCAAGGCGGGTGCCAGCGGGGGCCCCTCCGATTGCCCCGCCAGTAGCCCCACAGATCGGCCCTGATCACCGGCCAGGCCTAGGGATCCTACCCATGCACAAATTCGTGCTACCAGGCCTCTAGCTTTAACATAAAGGGTTTGGGAACTAGAGAGGGTAGTGGTTAGGGAATCTGGCTTAGAATCTGAAAGCTCTGGACTCGGCTTAGTGTTTAACTTGGAGAAATTACTAAGAATCTATTGCCTTCACTGAAAATGGTGATAACAGTGCACTGTCTGCAAGGTTGTTATAAGGTTTAAATGAGATAATGCAAATGAAGGACACAACACCAGGAGCAGACACTATTATTATTAACCAGTGGCCTTTCTTTGCACATCATTTTGCACTAACACTATTTGACAACTAACATTCACAGAGCACTTACGATGACTAGGCACAGTACTGAGTTGTGGGTTTCATAGGAGAATTGAGTCTTAGGTTGATTATCTTAATAAGTCAGCCTTAAGTTTGGGAGTATTAGTACTCTTTTCAGATTATTGTTAAGATCGGGACGATGCCTCCTAAGAAGGGTTTAGTAGTATCCAACAAATACAAAGTACTCAACAAAAGGCACACTAACGTCAAGGGCGAGCCCCATTAGCCTTGATCACCATCACGAGGGTGAGAGGATTGACCTGAGTCTGTTTCTTTCTCCCCCATTTAGCCACAAGCTTGGTGGCCAGCTCTTACATCCCCTAGCCTAGACCAGGGACTTGGGCTATTCTGGAACAACTATGGAAGGACCCAGCAGCTCAAGGAGCCAGCACTCAAGAGTTTGATGGTTAAGGGGATTAGAACAGAGAAAACTAGTCAGACTGCCAGTTACCCCAACAAGAAGAAATAACCCAAAGGAAACTGATAATGCTACTTCTTGATCTATATGCTGGTTACGAGGATGCGTTCGCTTTGAAAACACTCAACAACTTCTACAATTAAGGACTGTGCACTCTTCTGTATGAATGTTATGTTACAATGAAAGATTCTAAACAGTGACCGCCCCGCTCCATTATTCAAAGCATAAAACCAGCCCTTCCCAATGGGTGTACCACAACTGGGTTACAAGCACAACAGGTCAGTCACCTGGGGCAGCAAGCAGCCTCATCAGCTTACCCCACAGGTAAGAAATAAGATGTTATGGTTTTTGGTAAGACGAAGAGATGCTGCTCTTGAGTTCCATCCAAACAACACCCTCCTCAATCACACAAGTTTACCTCAAGGTTCCTCCTGTGTTCCGTGCTGCTGAGTCGGCCAGACTCCCGATGACCCTATGAATGAGTGATGGCCACAATGTCCTATCCTCAACAGCCCTGCTCAGCTCCTGCAGACTCATGCCCGTGGCTTCTTTTATGGAGTCAGTCCATCTCACATTGGGTTTTCCTCTTCTCCTGCTGCCTTCTATTTTCACCAGCATTACTGTCTCTTCCAAAGAACTCTGTCTTCTCACGATGTGCCCAAATCAGGACAGCTTCAATTTTGTCATTTTTGCCTCCAGCGATGTTTCGGGCTTAATTGGCCCTAGGACGCACTTACTCATCTTTCTGGCGGTCCAGGTATCAGAGAGCCCTCCTCCAACACATTATTTCAAATGGATCCAGTTTTTTTTTCCTGTCAGCCTTCTTCACTGTCCAAATTTCACATCCGTACATAGTAATTGGGAATGCAAGGTTACCTATCTGAGGTTAACTTTATTTACTGAATTTTTAATCAGATATTTTTATCCTCTCCAACAAGGAGAGATAACACTTCATTTAAGGGTCAACACCCCTAGACTGCTCTTTATACCACTGAGAGTTAGTCTTTGACATCATTCCTTATCTTACTCTTTAGAACAAGCAAATGCCTAGTTCACCCCTCTCCTCTCCCCAATTTCAATCATTTATTAAGTCAATGGATATAACACAGACCACATGCTGGTTTTTTCTTTGAAAGTTTATTGTTATTTAAAAAAAAAAAAAGCCTATACTTTTTACATTTTTACATCCACCTCTCAGAACATATAATAGTACCAGGTAATGGTGTTATTTTATAAAAAGCCCACCAGCTGCTTGAAATGGCTGCAAAAATTTTTTTTACCACGTTCTGGTAATAAAGTGGTTTGAACTCTTTGGAAAAATTGGTGTAACATTAAATAAGTACCAATATTTCAAATTCCCAGATTAGAAAAAAGATTTTTAAATCAGAAGGAAATTTAGTAAAATTCGAGGCTAAAGGAAAATGCTAATAGAAAAACAAAAGAATATTGTAAAAAAATAGGATTCCCCCCCCCCCAAGTTAGATTTAAAAAAATTGCAACCAACCCTCCCCCATATTTCTCTTAGAAAAGCCACCCAATGCTGAGCACAGGGTCCCCCACACAAGTATATAAGTAGCTTGATTTGCAGATCAGCCTCTGGATCGTACACTGGCCCCAGTTAGAAGTTTTTTAAAAAACTAAGTTACATTAGGTAGTTAGACATCCACAAATACTGGTATCTAATCAAATGAAAATATCCTGGCTTTGGTATGGCTACCGAAATATGGAAACTGTTCAAGAGGACACTGGCTTAGGGAGAAAAGGAGTTGGAGAAATATACAAAACCCCCAAAAGGAGGTAAAATAAATACTAGGACACGTGGATAGCAAACACTGTGTACTTGTGGCAGATGCCTCAAGCTGAACAAATGTATCAACAGGTTCTTGATCAGAATGACACACATCCAAGTTCTTCATCAGAAACACACACATACAGGTTCTTGATCAGAAGTGTCTGGACCAACCTTTATCAAAGTCACTTTACAGAAAATAGTTGAATTTGGGAACTCATCTGTACCCTGGGTCTAGTGAGAGACAAAACTTTTAGAATAAGAATGGCCAGCTGGGCTAAAAGCCAGCCCTCTCTTATTATAGGAGTCCCAAAGTCTGTGTTCCCCATCACAAAAGTTCCTCCAGCTCCTAACGAATGGGCTCTTCCACTCCCGGTCACTGCAGGGGCATCTGAGAGGTTGAAATGCTGATTTTTCATCTCTGGAGTAACTAAGTAAAAAACTAATAAATCTTCTGGGATCAGGAACATACTTTACTGTGCTGTATGTCACGTCTAAATCACATTTTCCTTCATTTTCGGTAGATCATGATTTTAAGAGTTGTGAGAACACTGAGGGGCAAAAGGCAGTGATGGGGCCAAGACCATGCCTCCCTGTGGCCTCAACACCCTCAAATTTACAGAAGAGAAAAGGCCAAAGCATCCAGATACTGGTCTTCAAATAGTTACTTCACAAAAACACAAAGGTGCCACCAGGCAAGGCAGGGGAAAAGGCAACTTGCCGCTCAATGCTGAATCCCCAACAGTTATCAATACAATCCTTTCCCAAAAAAAGCAAACTCTGGTGTACTGTTAGGAAGGTAAGCTAATACAATCATTAAAACAAACAAAAAACTCTTTGATGGCAGCACATACTAAATACATCTAAATAATTTCCATCACAGGGCACTAGATGACAACCAGTACCTGCTATTACGGGATGTTACACACACCACAATGACAATTCAAGCAAGAGAGAAACCCCAAACAGCCAAGGCTGCCAAGAAGAAACAAAACGTGAAGCCCCTCTTTACTGTGGACTTGGTTCACTGAAGTCAACATTCTAATAATGGGAGGTCCTGGGGGCAGAGAATAAACACCAAAGGCCCAGGCAACTTTTGATGAACAGCACTCTTTATCCTGTTTTTAAATGAGACCCTATCACCAGAATAAAAAAATGAAAAAAATAGATTATAAATTAAAACAAAAATATATCTGTACAAGTCTTTACTCCGAGTCAGTAAGGTTTGGTCTCTGTCGAAGGCAGGACTTTGGAGGTGATTTACCTGTCATCACAGCCCCATGACTTGCGACTTGTGTTGGGGTGTGTACATCGAGAGACAACACAAAGGGAATCACTTGAGACCAAGGGAACTACGTACAAAGGTTTCCTAGGACATGTCAAGTCTACTAATTGCCCAAAGAGATGCTAACACATGCTCTAACCCCCAAAACTTGGTAAACATCGTAAGGTGGCAACTAGAATACAAAAAACCCCATGACCCAACAAGTCATTTCTCTCGTTGTAGGAATGAGGAAAGGGTGCACGGAGTGAAGGGGAGGCTGTTTCATCAGAATTCATTAGGAAGAGTGGGTTTAGCGACAGCCTTCTGTCCTCAACCTGGGCCAGAACTCCAGGAGGCTGTGAGTGCCGACAGCAAGGTTCCATGGGTTTGGAATGGCCAATGTGCAATAATGGGATCAGTGACAAGAGTGCAATTTGAATTATGAGTGAGAGTCTGTAGATAACTGCAGACTCTCACTCATCAATCTCCCTCCCAAACTTCGATACATAACCCAATAATCAGCCTGTGGCAGGTCTCTTCACCTACCGGCAACAGGGAAAATTAGTTGCAAATGAAACGATCTGAATGACCACTTCTTGTTTCCAGCTCGAGCTAGAACAACTGTGTGTAAATAAACCACTTGTGCATTAAATAACATTTAAAATACGGTATCTTCAGCACATTATGAATATGAAATGCCCCCTCCCCCCAGCCCCAATTACTTCAGCGCACATAGTCCCTCAGGCAAATTTTTCTGTCGTTCAGCCAGTGGAGTGGATGGCATACGCCAGATGTTCCACAAGGCATTTATTTCTCTGAGAAGGCTGAGAGCCAGCAGAATTAATCTTCTTCTGCTAGGACCTCTGCCCCAAGCTTCTGGGGAAACACTGAATTAGACTCCACAAGGGAAGTAGGTACATGATCCACTAATCAGATTCAAAACATGAAAATCCATTGTTGAGTGTATCCCTTCCCGCTCCTCTTCATGGTAGAAAGACCTAAAGATAATCAATTAAAAAAAAATGTCCCTTCAAACTCAAAAGAAGCTTTGGGGGGGGAAAAACCACAAAGCCAAAAAAAAATAAACAAATAAGTAAGTTAAATTCCCAATTCGCCTGAAAGTAAAATCATCTTATGGCGACGGATGACTGGAAGAAGTCGAGGCAGTAAAGAATGAAACAAAGATGGGAGCGACTGGCCACGAAAGTGCCTTGCAGAATCCACAACAGTGTTCTCCATTGTCCAAGGCCAAGGAGCAATTCCCAAGTTAAAAACTTTCTATTAGGAAGAAAACAACAAAACCAAAAACCACTTCAGAAAAAGGGTCAAGGGAAGTAGCGCACTGTAGAAAGTCAAGCCGCTGACCTCCGGCGGATCACAAAGAGCCCACGCTGAAGCTGGCCCAAGTAAATCCTCATCTTGGTGCTGTCACTGGTCTTTCTCACCCAGATCTGCAGAGAAGGAAAGAGAGAGGCTAAGAATGAGGAGTAAGTCTTCCAGAGCACAAAAATATTTGCATAAATTAGGTGTGGGCACAAAACTGGCAACCTCTTCCTGTCAATTTGCAAGGACTTCGAAAGCACCTCCTTGACCTTTGGCCCTCCTAAAGGCACACCTCCAGTGTAGACAGTAGACATCAACCTTGAACTCATTTCTCCCAGCCATCTCTCTTACACCTTTAAGAAAATGGAGCCCTATACTCAGTGGACCCAGCATTAGCCTGTGGACTGAAGGATCCTGGGTTCGATTCCAGTCAAGGGTACATGATCCCCAGTAGGAGGTGTGCAGGAGGCAGCCGATCGATGATTCTCTCTCATCAGTGATGTTTCTCTCTCCCCCCCATCCCTCTCTCTGAAATCAATAAAAATATATTTATTTTTTTAAAAAAAGAAAGAAAATGGAAAGCACAATGATACTGTGTTCCATTTGGCTTTGATCTTAAGGGCTCTTTTTGATTTCGTTTGACTACAGAGTTAACATTCAAGATAGATTCATCAATATACACTTTCAGTCAAATTAGGAAATATTTTGGCAGTCCTTCCCTCCAGACCATATCGTTTTCCCACAGAGGAAATAGCAGGTTTTGCGTTTCACAGGCAGACACATTCTTCTGTAGAACTGAGAATGAACCCTGCAGCAGGGGACTGCCCGAGCTGACAAGTGCACTCAATAAGGACGGAAGGAGAGCTGGCACACCTGATCAAGGGGCTACTGTGGGCCAGACACTGCTGGTCAAGTTGAGCCTCCTCCGCCTCAGAACCTCCACCCAACCCCCTGCAATGAAGTAAGTATTAGCATCACCCCCCTTTTATAGAACAGCAAGGCTAAGTCATGTGTCCTATGTGAACCCTGGCATCTGACATCAAAGTCCTTGCTCTTCTCCACTAACCCAGCCCTTGACTCTTTTCATCATTCTCTCGTGTGTTTAATCAACATACAATTAGATGGAGCCAAAAGCATTAAACTTTTTTTTAATCTGCATCACATATATACAAGTACAAGTTTACGGATATATCTTCTCCCTCCCCTGCTTAGTCTTCAGATTTTAAAAAGTTTATTCTCAGTTTCCTCTCAGTTTCTTTACTGCAGGGGTCCTCAAACTTTTTAAACAGGGGGCCAGTTCACTGTCCCTCAGACCGTTGGAGGGCCGGACTATAGTTTAAAAAAAACTATGAACAAATTCCTATGCACACTGCACATATCTTATTTTGAAGTAAAAAAACAAAACGGGAACAAATACAATATTTGTATTTGCATGTGGCCCGCGGGCCATAGTTTGAGGACCCCTGCTTTACTGTGATTATTTAGCAACAGACTTTATTTTTAAACCAGTGTGTTGAACTTTAAAGTTAAAAGCCTCGCATGAAGCTGAATCTCTAAGGAACCAATTTCAACTAAAAACCGACCCCAAGGAGGGCTGAACTGGGAAGCCACCAACATGTTTAGATGTGCCCACCAAATCTGTACAAAGTAAAGTTATGCAAAGGCCAAGTAGCTCCACTGCCACTTAGGATGTGACCGTAAACATGAGCTGGAATACTTCCAAGAAGTGAGAAATATTTTCCTGTTCCCAGAGTTGCGTGCCTCTGATGCACTGAGGCGTCTCCCCTCCAGGAGATATGTCTCAATGTCACTGTTTCCTTGTCAGACCTCACTGACACTCTATTATGTCAAAGGGTGACAATCTTCAACACAGAGACAGAAAAATCTAACTTGCATTTCTATTTTCCTAAAAAATTTTGAAGAGTCAGAGAGAACAGTGCACTACATCTGAAGTCAGGTTTAGGTTCTAGGAGACCACACGCTAGGTATAGCAGTGCACACGGCCATGCGCAAAACTCCGCTGTGAAATGACAACACTTGCTGAGCAGCAGATGCTATCTATTAGATCGCCCGTTCTGGTTTTGAGTTGGCTTGAAGTGAAACACAGATCCTGAGTCCAGAGAAGAACGACATTCATTTATCTGGAAGGCTCTCCCTAACTTCTAAGTAAACAATCATTGTGCAAACTAGTCACATTTAAGGGCATTTTCAATTCAGGAAGCTGGGAGAATAGAAGAGGCTTAAGTTATTTCATAATCCAGTTTCATTAGATTTGCTTGCACTGGCACAAATAAGTTACAGAGGGTAGACACATAAAAATCAATTTTGCTGCAGACATCCTTGGACTGATAAAAGATGGAGCCAATCAGCTATTAAAGTTTAAAACTTTTTTTAACTACTAACAGGTTACACATTGCTGACATCCTCCTAATGAAGGGCCATTCGGAGAACTCACAGGCCAGACATATCATCCTTGAGCATAAGCCTCTGAGATAACTTTACAACCAGTCCCCATCCTACAGAGGTGATGGGGGGAGACCAACACCTAATGGCACGAGCCTGGAAGCTCATTGTTCAGAGGCACAACAGGACATGTCAGATTGGGATAACAGCAGGCAAGGAGTAGTGTGTGGGTCAGATCAGACCAGCACCCATTTATTGAGCACTTACTGTGTGCCAGACCCTGTGCCAGATGTCTCGATACAACCTCACAGCACGAAACAAATCTATCAGTACACATAAACATTCTAGAGAAAGAACAGACAAAGATGGAGTATGCTCCACAGGCAGGTTCCATTCTCAGTGGATGGTTACCTTAAAAAAGCAGCAGGGTTTGAAAGCACAGAAATCACACAGACTTGCCTTTTGTTCATTCCTGTTGTCCAACTAGTGGTTCCCAACTCAATTACTGCACAGGTAGTGCACAGATACCACAAGGAATACACTATCCGCATATACCACAGTCAAGCAAAGTAAGGAACCGCCAAAGGTGATTTTGCCTATGTGTAGTTTCTGCCTGAAAGCACTGAATTTAGACTCTAACCCACATATAACCCATGATCCCACTGTACTTTCTCAGTGGCCCTCCCACTGCAGGTTGTCACCTTTTGCTTTCCTAAAGGGTGAGGGAGTTTGGTCCCTACCTCATTGGCTCCAACAGAGCTGATCACACAGCTCAGTTTCTGGTTGTCCTTTGACTCCAGATAGATGGCTTGGCTCTTGTGGTACCTGCCAAAAACAGGACACAAGTTTATTCCTTTAACCACTTTATTGAAGTATGACTGAAATATAAAGAGCTGTACACATTTATGAGTTTGGGGATAAGTATACACCCGTGAAATCATATCACCATCAAGGCCATAGACATACAGGTGTGGACAAAAGTCAGTTTACAGTTGTAAGCGAAACTCGGTTTATTTTGCATTACTATTTATTACTATTAACCTGCATTTGCCCACCCATGTATATATCACCTCCCAAAGTTTCCTCCTGCCCTCTTTATTATGATTATTATTTTTTTGTGGGGGTTTTTGTGGTAAGAACACTCAACATAAGATCTACCCACTTGAAAAATTTTAGGTATAAAATACAGTACTGTTAAAGGCACAGATATTTTTAGGAAGAAAGGAAGGGAATATCACCAGAATAAAAAATGTAATTAAAGGAGACTTAATTGATATTTGAGGAAGAGTCTGGATTTCAGATATAATTTAAAGGCTTCCATCCTTGGGTTAGATTAGATGATGACCTCCTAATCTTCTAAATTTAACTTATATTCCTTGGTCCCTTTACAGTCAGGGAAGGGGAGGGCAAGAAAAGGGCTAGGAAATTAACTCTATATTTGTTTTTTTTAAAATATATTTTTTTATTGATTTCAAAGAGGAAGGGAGAGGGAGGGATAGAAACATTAAAGATGAGAGAGAATCATCGATCTGTTGCCTCCTGCATGCCCCACACTGGGCATGTGCCCTGACCAGGAATCAAACCGTGACCTGTTTTATAGGTCAACGCTCAACCACTGAGCCATGCCCCACTCTGAGCTGTATTTACTTTTTTATTTGGACTATACGACCTCGTTCAAAAAGTAAATTATAATTTTTCAAGTAAAACTTGGTTTCACCCCAAAACATTAAAGGCTGGGTAGATAAAACAATAGAAGGGCTTGAAAAACTGGTTTGTTATTTTGTATTTGTCCAAATAAATCATCAACAAGAAGGAAGGCCAAATTCAGCCTTTACTTTGGTCACTCATTCCACAAACACTCATGACTCACTCACTGTGTACTCTATGTTGGAGGCTGGAGGCAGACAGTGAACAAGGCAACAAGGTCCCTGCTGCCATGGAACTTCCAATGCAATGGCAGCAAAGGAGATTAAGTCATCCCAACTGACCAGCAGTCACTAGGTGATGTGCACCAGAGTATCTAACATGGCCGGTCAGTCAGGACAGTTGCTTTGAATGTAGTAGACATGACAGACACTCCCCTTTCAGCCTCTATATCTATTCCCCTGGCCTATAGTGAAGGACCACCTTCGACTTCTACAACTTCAGGGATAAGGCCGAGGGTGAAAATGAGGAAGCCAGGGAAAAAGCCCAGTGGGACAATAGCAGCTGCCACAGGATGAAGGAGCAGCTGCTGGATTACAAAAGCAACTAAATTGCTACTGGCAGCCCTGGCCAGTCCCTGTTCAGTCAAGAACATCACGGTTGGTTCATCCTGGCCACACAGATCTGGCTTAACAGACCCACTAACTCAAGTTCCACCAAAACCAAAATGCATCTCCCGACACAGCACTGCTTCTTACCATTATTTCCATAAGAGAAGCAGACTATTTTGCTGGGATAATAAAGTAATCTACTGCCAAGACATTACAGTAAAGGATGTACTTCACTCCCACAATCAGCTTTTTCCAATCTAGGCTCTAAGCACTGTTTAACCTACTACTTAGGAGCTGAAAACTCAGGTTTCCAAGTCAATCGACTTCCTGAAAACACTGTTAAAAGAAATTGAATCATAAATGCAATTAGAACAGCAAGAGTGGTTTAGATCCAGCTTCAAAGTGGCTTTTGGCCAGAGATGAATTGGTAAACTGGGTTAGGGACCTTCATTATGCTGAATACTTAATATCGCAAGGTTTGACTTGCACAGGGCATGAGGAAACTCAAACTCAAGTTTCCCTCCCCCATCTAATCCAACTGCCCTGTATAAATGGTTAGAATAAAAATATAGAGGGGAGAACATTCACAGTTATTCTATAGGGACTGTGATTTATTAGAGTTAAAAACAAAAGATAACAGGCATCTAGCCTCAAGTCATTCTGATACTACTTTCTAAATACTTTAATAAAGCAAGGTCATGGATGTGGTGCAGAAGTATATTACTAGTGTGGAAACATGCTCAATATACTGCTAAATAGAGGAAAATAACTATGTCCATATGTTCCTGTGTTTGTAACAAAACATATGCATATTACTCGTGTATCAGACACTCAGAAAAAACTGGTTAATTTATATATTAAAATGTATATTAAAATTTTATAAAACATAAAATTTAAACTAAGAATGGTATTCCTTTTATTGCACAGTTTTCTTTTTTCAAAAATAAACAGGTGTTACTTATATTAAAAAGTAAGTAATATTTTCTTAAGTCATGGTACTGGACAATACCCAAATAAGAAAGATGGGGTAAAAAGAAAATTTAATGTCACAAATTTTATCCTAATGTCTGTTAAAGACACGTTAACTCTGGGAGACTATTCAAACGATTCTCCTGAGATGTGCTCAGAGGCCAAACCCCAACACACCTGACTGGCTTAAAAGTGAACATCAGGAGTAAACAATGCAATCCAGCCTTTTAGCCCTGAGATGTGGTCTGGGAGTTAAGTATCTGGCCACCTCCCCAGTGTGCCTGCTCTGGAATCACCAAATACATAGTGGTGGCTTAAATGCCCATCATTGGTCACTATTTGCTCCTGGAGAACTGGCCAGCCCACTTCCAACCCAACTGATTCCCTGAAGCAGAGTTTCTGGGACCTCCAGGAGATACTTATGTGCCACATCATAATGGCCTCGGGGAACCATTATCCCTGGATATCAAATCTATTAAAACATCTGAATTCTATGGGGAAAAAAAAAAAGTGCTCATGTAGGGGGTGGGGTATTTTTAAGATGAAACCAAAAGTACATGACAACCTTAAAACACAAATTTACTTTCCAATTTCTAAAGACTAATAAAAGAACAGAAAGAAATTCAAAATATACTTAGACATAAAAAATGTTCAAAAGCAACATCAATCGAGCTACATTAGTAAAAATGTACATTATCATTTTTTTGCCAATTAGCCCATTTTACAAGCTACAACTCATCTCTGCTGAAAAAAATACCTTAAATAGCCTCAGAGGACAAGCCCCAAATGTCAAGCTAACTTTATTACTAATGGAAATTCTGACCTGGGAATCCCTACAATTAAGCTCTTAAAGCTTTGCCACTACTGTTAAACCCAATGAACTAGAATCACTACTACTATTATGGAAGAAAGCAATTTCTTTAGAAGGTGGGTCAAAAAGTGGGGCACGGAGGAGGTAGAATTTAATTTTGTATCCTACTGGGAATCCTCACATTAAGGTTTCACTTCAAAAGAAAAGACCATGTCACAGCTACAGTACCTCCAAGAGCCCTAATTCTAGTTGGAAATATTCACTGTTGTAACAGTGTTTTGTGTCAGCTGAAAGCTGGAGGGTTAAATCCACTCAAGCGAGTGGGTGACTTCATTTCTGATTCACATTAGCAGCCCCAGATTTAATGTGAGGAGAGAATCAACAGTCTGCCAGCACCAGCAGTTAGTTATTTTAAAGTATCAGCTACTTTCACAGTACTTCCTAAGAAGGGTCATTAGTCCAAATCAAAATGTGAGGAAAACTTACAGCAGGATATAAAATGCCTTAAACGCAGTATGTATAAGACCAAGGCAAAGGGAAGATGCTTATCTTTCAAAACGAAATGTAGCTTGATAAGTGTTCTTGCCAAGATGGGAAGCCCGAATCACACTCATTTTGCTGAAGTCATTTAAAACTCAATGAAACATGTTTTGCCAGAAGTACTTTCGCCAAAATACTCCTCACCAGAGCGCTGCAGGAACTTTGGCCTGGAAGTGCGCTATATAAGCATAACTAATGGACACAGACACTGGGGGGTAGGGGAGGCCAGGGGATTTTCAAGGGCGGGGGAAAAAAAGGAGAAACATGTAATACTCTTTGTAATAATTTAAGCAATTAAAAAAGAAAAAAATAAATAAATAAATAAAACTTCTTCAATTCCAAAAAAAAAAAAAATACTCCTCACCATTGGAAAGAACATAAAGTGATTCAGTTGACCTCTCAGCCACAGGCCATGATGCTGAAAAAAGAAAGAAAAATGGCAGCCTCCAACTGACAGGGACACAAAAGGCAAAGAGCAGAGCCTGGTGAGACATGAGAAGCCGGTTCTGTACTGGTAAACGTGGCGGCCAGGACTCCCATGAACACCTTCCGAATACAGAAGGGAGGGACCTGCTCAAACAAATGTGTTTGAACTGTGACTGCCAAGGCCAAATAAGAGAAGCACACAGAATACAAAAGAACACAACAGTCTCAATATGTAACAGGAGAATAAAAGCAGCTTTAAATTCACTGAAAAAGTAAGATGCTCCCAGAGTTTATTTTAAAATTTTCTGGAGCCATTGTGAGAGACTGAAATTCCTTCAAAATGCTTAGGAGGTCTAACACAGCAAACCTGACCACTCTTTACATCACGAAACACCAGTCACTGTAGGTCCTTTCTTTATAAAAACGAGAATTTTATTTTACAGCATTTTTACCCTTAAGACTTGTCTGATAAAGTAGAAGGAGTAAGCCTTAGAAAGAGGAAGATCTGAAGCAACACAATTACAAAATGAACATTATTTGAAAGATCACATGGCTTTAGGACTCACAGATCCATAAAAATGTTAGTGATAAACCTCATCATTTTTGAAGATGTTTCTTATGTGTGGGCTAGATCTTTAAAGGTTATTTGGTTTTCATTATTTGAAACATTTTTCATCGTATTTTGCCTCCAGTGTATTAAGCTGTTAGGGCCTGCCACCTAGTGGTGGTATGATCTGGTAAGCAATATTAAGAAGATACAAGATTGCAAAAAAATTGTCAAATGAGAAGGGCAGGAGACACCAAGATCAAGCTTACAGATAGAGCTAGCCCTCATCATCCACTGGGTAATTAACCCACTATAACTAATAAGTGGAACTTATTTATTTTAAGCATGACCAGATCACTAAGCATTTCTGCCAAGTTAGGGAGTACAATATTATTAAGGTAACTAACACAATGTTGGGGTTTTTTCTTTAAGAAAGCTAAAAAAATTCTAAGAAGCCATTACTCAAATTTTGGAACCTTCCATTAAATAAATATATTGAATCTCAAAAGGTGATTATATACACATTATAAATAGAGCATGCAATAACCCAGGAAAACATCCTGCATATAACCAAGTAGAAAGGCAGAAGAATCCAAGTATGTGTCTACCATGCTATATAACAAAAGGCTAATATGCAAATCGACCAAACAGCAGAACAACTGGTCACTATGACACTCACTGATCACCAGGGGGCAGACGCTCAACACAGGAGCTGCCCCCATTCAGCCGGAAGCTGAGCTCACAGTTGGCGAGCGCAGTGGTGGTGGTGGGAGCCTCTCCCACCTCCGCGGCAGCACTAAGGATGTCCAACTACCAGCTTAGGAGCAGGCCTAAGCCATCAGTTAGACATCCCCCGAGAGCTCCCGGACTTGAAGTGGGTGCAGGCTGGGCTGAGGGGCCCCCCCTCCCCGCCCCGCCCCACCCCAAGTGCACGAATTTCATGCACTGGGCCTCTAATGACTTAATAAACTGAGTAAGAGTATGGCACATATGGACAATGAATAAAGGAATATATCAGAATTAAAGAGCTGTGAAAAGGTGGCAGAATTCAGGGTGACTTAATATCTAGCAGAATGCCTAGTTATAGAGAAGACAGTAAATGTTTGCTGAATGAGTAAATGTATGAACTTTTGAGGTTCCTTCATATTATTTTGCCTTCTTATTCCCAGTGGAAATACTGGTGGTGTGAAGGTTTCCACCAGTCTTCAATCTAAACTAGCAATGTTTTAAAACACAATTCCCCCAAAAATGTTTCCTAGAATACTCATGCAGCAGGATGACACAGGCGAAAGGGTCCCTCACCAAATAAATAACCTCTGCTAACATCTTAGAAATTCACAGTGTGCATCAGCATAAACCCAGTCTACAGGGACATCACAGAAGATGTAAGGCTGCAAATTCTAGTATACTAGCAGCAGCATGGAGAGAGAAAGGAGGGCCACCATCAGAACACCACGTTCTGAAAAAACACAGCCTTCAAAGATCTAACAAGTAGCATCACCCAAATGACTCCTGATATACGTTTAAATGTTATTCCACTTTTAGTACTATGTAAGTTAAGCAGCAGCCATGCTCTAAAACAACAACTGTAGATAGGTCCAGCTCTCTTTCCAAATGGTTCTTCTGAGAATCTTATGAGTAATCTGTGTTTTTCCACAACATACCTACCATCTTTTATCATAGTACAATTTGCCATCTTCTATCCGGGCTTCAAATCTCTGGGCTGGAGACTCAGCTGGTGTGGCAGGCAAGTGTTCAGGAGAAGAGGGGGATGCTGGAGGAACCAAAAAAATATTTCAATGACTAAGCATGTAACAAACATGTGAGTCCGCCAGCTAACATGCTTTAATTGAAATGCTATTAAAAGGTACTAATAATCATAATCATCAAGTCCTTACAGTTGTAATAAATGGGAATCCAATAAAATTCTTGTATAGTACATCTTATGATCCTCAAAGCAAACCTGTGAGGTAAGCAAGGAGAAGATTAACCCCACTGAACAGAGGAGAAACCTGAGGCTCAGGCAGGTTAAGGGATTTGCCCAAGGTCACTTAGAGTAGAACTAAAATCCCAGCGATCCACCTGAAGCCCAAAGGGCAAAATTAGATAAATCCTCTTAAATCTATAAAAAATGAAATCATTTCTAGAAATATTTATTACTAGGTGGAGCAAGTCAAGCTAAGACAGTGCTAGTAACTTCGGTGGGTTCAAATGATCTAAATTCACACACTTTACTCAAAGAACCCCTTTCCCCATCATGCCTTCAGACCCTCTCTGTGGACCTCAGGAGGAAATGACTTAAAAATAAAGAAGACTCTTATTTTCTTCCCCAAGATATGGTGAGTAGAGGGATGTGTGAGTAATCACAGCACTTAAAACAAAACAAAACAAAAGCCTTGCCAGTTCAGAGTTCCCTCTAACAGCCCAGCACTGACTTGAGTGCTGCTCTGGAAGGAACCACGTGAACACGGGGCCAGCCTCTTCTATAGGCTGGGACTGGGGGCAGCTGCGAGTTCTGACCAGAGCCAGTTTCTGAAAAGCACTGCAACAGCAGTGGCTAGTACTTAACTCCACAAACCAAGTCATACTGACGTCCCCTTCTGGTTTCATTTTCAGAAATGGATGTGTACTTAAATATTATAGCTGATGCCCACACAGAAAGAAAACCGTTACCAGCCAATCAATCAAATGTCTCTTTTACAATAAATTTAAAGGAAAAGACAAACATAACTTGAACATAGGGTTAAAAAAAAAAATCAGGGGAGGGTGCACTTAAGGTTCCCTTCAGTTTTCATGATTTCCTTACTAAATGTCAGTGCCAGTTTTATAAAAGAATTCACCGCCCGCCCCCCTGCCCATCTTAGACAAATGATGAACACTTTATTTTTGAAAATGGCAACAATTCCCTGTCAAGTATTCGCATGCTTTTCCAAAAACATGATAAAAAACTGCACAAATGCCAATAATGTCATGCACTTACCGGGTCTCTTGGGTGACTTAAGCTGTAGAAAGAACAACAAAAAATCTTAGAGAAAATCACTTCAGATGCAACTTACAGTGTCAAAGGTATCAAATTGATTTAACAAGTAACATGTGAACAAAGTAAAGCTGAAAACCATATCAAACCTAAGCTTTCAAATAAATCAAAACTGTACCTTATTTAATGTTCGCAGATCCTCCATGATCTGTTCATCTGTTAACAAGTAATTTAGCTGGGGTGTTGAGAGTTAAAGAAATGTGTCTGAAAAGCACGGTTTCCAAGCAAACAGAATTCAACAAAATGAAACCAGTATTTTAGTTTACAAAGTGTGATTATGTAACATGACATTTTTAAAATGATAGTTTCTCTCTTGGAAGTTTTTGATTCTCCTAGTAAATGTCATTGCACCAGGTATACAGAAGAATTCATATCCCCATCTTACAAACTTCAGTGATGCAAAGGTAGAATGAGCGTCAACAGGTAACTACAATAATAGTGCGCACAGCACACAATAGAAGAACTTCATCCTGAACTTATCAAGTGCATTTGTTCCAAAGATCTGAAGGCTTCACATTTATACTTGGGGTTAATCTTCCCTCGCAAGTTACATTCTCAGTTGTAAAGAGAAAGGAACCTGAAGTTGTGCCCTTTCCTGATGACAAATAACTGAACCATTTTATGCAAATGGCTATTAGATCCTCAAGAGGATGGAAACAATACTTCCCCACACGTCCTCTTCCCATTCCCATTTTTATGATTAAAGGGGCTTCCTTCTGACTGACTGAAATCTCACAAGTTTGCAATCCAGGGATACAGATAACTGAGGTAGAAAAGCCAGCTATCACTGTCCTCATTTTACAAGTAAAAAAAATTAATGCACTTGAAATTTTCAGTTGCCCCTCAATCTCCAAGTATTAAAACCAGGTTGAACCTCCAACACAAAGTACCTTTCAAAATAACTCTCTCTATAAATCCCAAATGCAGTAGCAATTGAGGACTCTGATCATAAAATGGCCAAACCCTGCTTTCCAATCACATACAGTATGACTATTTTCTGTAGGACAATAGCCATGTGTATTCTACCAAATGGATAAGCAAAGGATTCGATCATCTTAAAGAGGGAAAAGTGATCCAGGCTTGATGCAAATGGATATCAGGAGCAGGTTTTCTCCTCTTGTCTGGAATGGGGACAGGGTCATTTGGTCGCCTCCGCAACTTCCTGGTCATGATGGGTTTCACTTCCATAGAATCTGTGGCAAGAATGGAATGGGTAAATCTATCCAATCCCCACTGAAGTCAGTGAGAATTTCCATAATGTAAGAATACCTGCCCCATAGCCACCCAATCACACAGTTTTACTGGGGATGTCTGGTCCACCCATGGCCCAACCCAGACATCCATGTCAGACTTCAGAGAGAAGGTCATGCTTAGAAGATTCAGACCGGCTGACCTAAGTGTACATCCCTCTCAGAAATGCAGCCCAGCCCTGCTGTCTACTATTGTAACCGCTTCAGGAATCTCTCCAGCACCCTGAAAACCAGGGATTTTCCTCCTCTTCCCTCAAATTTAAAGAGGCCGCAGAGTCGCAGGCTCTTGGGATTAGAAGGAACCTCTGGGTCATCTCTGTGTACTAACTCCTGCTGTTCCCATGGAGGGTGGGTGAACTGAAGCTCACTGGTATAAAAGGCTCTTTTAGAGGCCAGTGGCCTCGGTGCCAACAATTTTATATGAGATCTTCATTTACAAACACGAACTCTTTATTTTATTTAATAACCTTTTGTAGCTACTTGACTATCAAGAATGATACAATGAAGGCTCATAATAAAGGCCTCTTTTCATTCTTCTTGGCTTTTCTCTGCCAAGTCTGATACTGGTTGCTGACTTCCCTCGCCTTAAAATCTCTCCTCCCCAGCCACTGCCACACAAATCTCTCCTCTCCTGACTGTGTCTCTGAGGTCCTTTCCGCTGGCCTGCCCCTTTAAAACTGTGATCTCTGGAGTCCAGTCAGTCTCAGCCTGTTTTCCCAAGGAATCTCTGACCATCAACTCCAGCTCCACCCACCCTTCTGAAAGGCCACCTATAGCCTACACCACCATACACTCTCCAGGCTCCAAACCAACTCATTTCCTCTTGTTTCACCTCCCAAGGCTGCTGCTTCTCCTGTGTCTCAGGGGCATCACATCTACTCATTCTTCCAAGCCAAAACAAAATCTGCCATTTATGACTTGTCTTCCTTAATCCAGGTATCAAATCCAGCTGATAATAGCAAGTCTGCCTTTTAACTACCTCTCAGCTCCAACCCCTCATCATATCATCTCCCTCAAAGTGATCTTCCTACGACACAAATCAGATCATTTTGCACCTCACTCAAATATTTTAATGGCTCCTTACTCTCTACAGAATAAAAGCCATGCCTCATTTCTGGTCTTTTCCCTTTTTCTTTATTCACACAAACCCTGTGTGTGAGCTTTCAGCTGTTTTGTTACCCAAAGGTACCATACTTTTATGCCTACAAGACTGCACGCTCTCCTCTCTGCCTAACCTCCTCTTTTCTGCCCAGTAAACTCCTACACAACATCCCTCTGTGACCACTTCCACAGACAGTAACCAGAGCATTTGTACAAATCTCTACTGCCACGTGCCAAAAGTATGGGACATTTCCCTCCAACAGATGCTTAAATTCCACCCCAGCATGGAATCTGCCCCACCCCAGCCTGATGATGAGATACAGTTAACTTGAAAACACACACTATCAACAAAGCAGCCAAGACAGCCTTGCAGGATTCAAATGTAGCGCTCCCACGACGGCAAACTGTGGGATGTAAGAGCATGTAATAAACACGCGCACAAAGTCAAATGGCATTTCTGCATGCTGCTCTTAAGAACAGAAATGGGTATTGATTTTTTCCCCCAAGAAGGAATGGAGGTAAAGTGGTAAGAAACACAGACCTAACGAATATTCATAAAAAGGTACTTGGAAGTGGGGGTAGAAGGAAGGACAAACATAGACACACCTTTGGGGGCTTTTCCCTAAAAGAAATCTCTTAGCCTATGCTGAGATGCCACCCTTTTCCGGTGGCTTAGTGGCCAATGGGTCTGAATCCCTGTCAGGGCTGTGTGACCTAAGGCAGGCTACAGAAGCACTCTATGCCTGAGGTTGCTCAGCTATGAAATGGAAATATCAATGAGACTGCCCTCACAAGGTGGTGTGAGGATTACGTGAGATGATACGTGTAAACCTCTCAGAACAGTGCCTGCCATAATGAGAGTTCAATCAATGGTAGTTTCTATTAGCATATTTTCAGCCAAGAAAAAACTACAAAAATCTTTTTTAAAAGTCAAGGTGCAGCCCTAGCCGGTTTGGCTCAATGGATAGAGCGCCAGCTTGTGACCAAAGGGTCCCAGGTTTAATTCTGGTCAAGGGCACATACCTTGGTTACAGGCTCCTCCCTGGCCCGGGCCCTGGTCAGGGTGAGTGCAGGAGGCAACCAGTCCATGTGGTTCTCTCACATTGATGTTTCTTTCTGTCTTTCCCTCTCTCGTCCACTCTCCCTAAAAATAAATGGGGAAAATATCCTCGGGTGAAGATTAACAAAAAATAAATAAAAGTTAAGGCACAAACAGTTGAAATAGAAGTTACAGACTTGCTGTCAACTGAAAGGCTTTGCATCATGCAGACCTAACTGGAAAATGGTGTAAAAGGAGCTCACTCCACCTTAAAGAGCACCAGAGAAAAAGCACCTAGCTCATGAACATCATGGCATGTTCTGTCCACTACAGAGAGGGGCCGAGTGTTCCTTATCTTTCGGCTGCCATGTCTGCTGGGTAGGGAGGGTGGGCAATACATGATGGAAGTAAGGAAATAAAGGTATAGCTGAAGATCTGACAACAACCCAGTCCAATCGTGGCCAATATACTCAGAAAATCATAATTACATCACTCAAAAATCCAAAAATTTAATCTAATTTTTTTGTTACAGGTTGGGTGAAACTTCCTGTTCCTATATCAATACAACCACATATATCTTCAAGGTTTTACAATGGGAAAAAACAAGCCTGTCAAATCTTTATCTTCATTTAGGACAGCGGTTCTCAACCTGTGGGTCGAGACCCCTTTGGGGGTCAAACGACCCTTTCACAGGGGTCACCTAAGACCATCGGAAAACACATATATAATTACATATTGTTTTTGTGATTAATCACTATGCTTTAATTATGTTCAATTTGTAACAATGAAATTGGGGGTCACCACAACATGAGGAACTGTATTAAAGGTCGCGGCATTAGGAAGGTTGAGAACCACTGATTTAGGATCTCTCTCTCTCTCTCTCTCCACCTCCCAACACCATCACACGTTGAGGAAGACATGAAAACCGTGTCAGTCTGGTAACTATTAGAACACAAGCTCCTTGAGGACACAAACCTTCGCTATTAGTTTCATTTTGTGAGTTACTTAGTACCACATGAATCCATGGTATATACTGGGAGTCCATATAATATGGTAGTTAAGAAAACAGGCTTGGAGTCAGACACATTCTGGCTTACCCACTATCTCATTGGAGGAACTTTGAGCAAAAGGCTATTTCTCTGAGCCTAATTTTGCAAGTCAAGTCACAGGAGCTACAGGAACTGAATCAGGTTACAACTCCCAACCCCCCTTACTCTGTGCACCAGCTGCTCGTTGAAGGCATTATCTCTCGTAATACTAGGCATTATCTTTCGTCATCTTTACACCAACCCTCCATGGTAAGTTCTACCATCTTGTCAAATGAGACAATCCCACCACAGAAGTTCATGACAGGGTTCATCCATATCCATCAGCCTGTAGAGGCAGCTCTATCATTTTTATATAATACCTGGCTCATTGTAAGTACTCAGGAAACAGAGCTCCTATATTGATATTATAATTACTCATGGCTCCAGCTATGGATCCAGTATCTTCTGAAGGAAGCTAAGGTCATGAGTTTTGGACCCGAGGGGCCTGAGGATTGGAGGATGCCCCTGGTGGGGCAAGAACTTACAAAAGAAAATGAAGTGGCAGTTAGTGGGCTGTTGAAAGAACGGAGAAAAGGCAGCTGTCCTAAAGATAGGAAGAGGGAAAATGAATTAAAAATGATAAAGCTCCCCACATTTTCAAGCTCATTAAGTTCTAAGTATTTGGGTTACTTAGCCTTGGCTTCAACTGCATAGAAAACTCACTCAGGTAATTCTATAACCTCACTGCTAAAGGTGTGGTCCCACCAGCAGCATCAACACCCCTGGGAGGTGTTTAGAAATGCAGGATATTGGGCTCCACTCCAGACCCCCAAACCAGAATCTGCATTTTATTGAGGCCCCCAGGTGACTCATACACATTTAAATTGGGGGAGCACTGACCTAGAACTTAGCCTAGGTTTCTTTATCAACAATACACCTTTCCACATGCACAACCCAGCTGTCCTCGTAAGTTCGCCACTAGAGGTTTGAAGAGAACCTAATTCCCATGGAGGTCTATAACACTTTAAATCCTGTTCAGACAAAGCAGGTCACTAGATCCACCCACTTCCAACGGGTTATTTGGACTAAGCTTCTCATCAGTCTTATTTCATTTCATTTTTCAGGACGTTTTCTTCTTCTTCTTCTTTTTTTAAATATATTTCTATTGATTTCAGAGAAGAAGGGAGAGGGAGAAAGAGATAGAAACATCAATGAGAGAGAATCATTGATCGGCTGCCTCCTGCACGCCCCCCACTGGGGATTGAGCCCATGTGCCCTTGACCAGAATCAAACCTGGGACCCTTCAGTCCGCAGGCTGACACTCCATCCACTGAGCTAAACTGGCTAGGGCTTTTCAAGACATTTTCATTGTTGAACCATAAAAGATTTTAAGAAATCTCTTTTCTGGGCAGAGCTGGGCAACCCTGGTGTTGGGCATCAATCCACAAAGGTGAAATAAGTCAATCAGTGAGAGGAAAGAAATCAGGCCTTTAATCCAACACCATAACAGCACCATCTGTGGAAATGCTAATTATCCTTCTAGCTCCAGTGCCTTTTCTTCCCACACTCCATCATTACCTTGGCAGTGTCTCCATACCAAGGGTACCAAATGGCTTGAGAAAGGACATCGGTACCTTTAATGCCCATGGCTAGCTTTGAACTTCTGTCATCTATTTATTTTACTAAGTTACAAATGATTTCCTCGTGTTTATTTGTCTTTTCTACCCTGGCAGACTCGGCCTTAAGTCACTGAGGATGCCTCCTGTCCCCATTAAGATTCTGGCTATAAAACTGCCTGGCCAAACAATGTCTATCGCTTGTCAATAATTTGGATGCCAAATCACAGGTAAGGTGATGATATCCTTCCCTGCAGATGGAAAGGGAGCATCTATAAAGGACAATATTTCCCACTAGCCTAATGAAGGCTCCCAAACATCTGGTGGCTCTAACAGAGAGTGATGAGGCGTCAATGCCAGCTACATCCACCATCAGAGAAATGGTGTGTGGATCAGAAAACAAGCAGGCAGGCTGGCACCAAACTAGGTACCGCAGTGCCCATAGTCTAATTAAAAAAGCATTGTAACAAAAACGAGATGGTGCTATTTTAGCATCCATTCTCACTCAAAACACCATTTCTGAGTTGCTTTCAGAGGTCTTCAAGGAATTCACTCCTTTTGCCACGTCTCTCAATGAGGAAATTATCAGAGGAGTCATTTTTCAAGTGTGACTCCCTCTTTAGACACAACCACATTCTCATTGGTGTTTCACAGAATTGGAGCTAGAAGTTTATGTCAATTGGGAGGCCAATTTGTGTCATTAGTTCACAGCACCAAAAATACAGATGGGGAAACACAGCTCTTAACTGTTACTTTTCATTTCAAGGTCAATCCCAAGGACTTACATAGAAACAATGCATGTGCTACAGACCCCTACTAAAATCAGGCATGCCAGGGCTCTAGTACCTTCAGAATATGATTATGAAAGTTAAATTTGGGGGTGGGAAGAGGCATACCACTTACATATCCAAGTGACCAACTTACCACTGACTTTCCTTGTGGTATTTGCTGATGGAAATTTTGCTAAGTGCCAAAATAACTAATTCCTGCCCTGTATCCTTCTAGGATTCATAAGACTACATATGGCAACAGAAGAGTTGGCCCATATTGCTTCTCCCTCATACCTGCTGAGTTTCCATATGCAGATTACTAAATCCTAGAAGGCAAGGAGAGACTGGCTCTGAGTCAATGTAACTTGATTACGTTTACAGGAAAGGAATTCAGAGGGACTCAGGTAAGTAATCTGTGAACATAACCAAGACACAAATGGCAGCTGACCCAAGAATTAAATAAAGTAGAGAGGGAACCAAGATGGCAGCATAGGTGAACACCTATACTTGCTGCCTCTCACAACCACATCAAAACTACAACTAAAAGACAGAACAGATATCATCCAGAACCACGGAAGGGCTGGCTGAGTGGAAGTTCTGCAACTGGAAGGAAAGAAAAAAGTGCATTGAGACTGGTAGGAGGTGCGGAGGTAGGGAGGTGCGTGCAAAACAGGCTGATAACTGGGTGCTGTTGTGTGTTTTTTCAATCGGGAGGGAGACACAAGCTCCTGATTGCTCTGAACTCCAGTTCCGGGCAAGACTCAGGGAACCCAGACTCATACGGGGAGAAACTGGACTGTCTGGCATCAGGACAGGAATATGAGGGGGGCTTTCTCTCAGAGCTCGCAGCAATCATTGTTCCTGCATGGGGGCGCAGGACACGGAGACACGGGAACCTCCCCGGTTCAGGGCTGACTGGCAGCCATTGCTGTTTGCTCTGCCCTGGTGATTCCCTGAGACCTCGCCCCACCCAATTTACAATCCCACCCATGCTGTGCACAGCAGCTTTTGCATATGAATGGCCTATCCTTTTGCAGCCTAACCTAACAAACTGCAGCCGGGTCAGAGAGCTCCAAAGCTTCCAAAAGAAGGCCTAAGGTCCAACAGCAGCAGCCTGCCTTGCTTCACAGCTGGGCCTCATCTGGGCACTTCCAAACCCCAAACAAAGAGAAGGAATCTGCAGATCTCTCTGTAGCTCCTGCTGGGTGGCCTCAGGCAGTGGCTGACTTTGCACCTCCTTGGAGATCCAAGAGCCAGTGTACCCAGTGGTCAGTGTGAGACCATACCTGATTACAACTCTTCACATCCATAAGCGACACACTAAAGGGGCAGACTCAGTGAGCACCAAAGCCCCACTGAAGCAAGATTGTAGACACTGGTCCTCACAGCCAATTGGCCTGGAGGTCAATTCTTCCCAGTGATACCAACAGCAATCAAGGCTTAACTACAACAAGAAGACACACAAAAAGCCCACAGAGGGGTGCACCAAGGGTGTCCACCTCAGGTGATTGGGGAGGCTGAGCCACTTGGCCCTATAGGTCACCTAGCACACACGGCCACTCTATTAACACAGGGAAGCAGCCAAAATACGGAGACAAAGAAACATGTCACAAATGAAAGAAATGGAGGAAAGCAAACTACTAGATATCGAGTTCAAAACCACGGTTATAAGGTTACTCAAGAATCTTCTAGAAACCTCCGAGAAATTTAGTGAGACCCCCAAGGATATGAAAAAGGACCAAGCAGAAATTAAGCATACACTGACTGAAATAAAGAATAATATA